AGATACCACATTAGGTCATTAGCAATATTTCCATCCACTAATATGACAATAAATTTGTACTTCACTTATAATTAAAAAGATTTAAAATGATATGAATACAATATTATGTGATATTGTAAATTTATAATTTTAATATATCATTAAATAATTAGCTTTTTTTCATAAGAATCAATTCATAATATTATAAATATCTAATCATTTAATGACAATATGTGAAAATAATAAATTTACGCTTTGACATGGCATTATAGTTAGGGTTTGTCTATTCTATGAGAAGTAATTATTAATCAATAATTGTTTTAAAAGATATAAAATTTTAAATTAAAAAAATAAATTTTAATTTTAATTTTAAAACAAAGGAATAAAAAAACTAACACATAGTATTTTGTAGTTAAAACAAAATTCAACTTTATGATTTTTTACTCTGTATCCTAGGGGTATAAGATAAATAAATCCTTATAGTTATATTGCCTTACAAAACTAATTTGTTACAATTTATTAATACATCAGTGCACCGGATTCCGCTAACATGCAAGAATTTCTCCTGGGCTGCTGTGAATCCCATTGACAGACCTGTCACTCGGTAACCTAAGATTCGGGCCTACTCTCTAGGCCCATCATGTCCAAGCCTAGTGAAGTTTAAAGGCCCAAAAAGGAAATCAGGAAAACAAATAAAAAAAGAAGAAGTAAGAAACGGAAAGGCTGAGCCCCACGTTATAGTCCACGTCACTGCGCCTTCACACCGAGAACAAATATATAAAATACAATAAGCAATTTTATGTATTTGCTTACAATGTTTCTATTCAAATTTTGAAATCATACGTTTCAACTACAGGATTCTTTATCAGATTTAAGTAGGACATAAGACCTAAGTTTAGGAAGCAATGATATCATCACTCCAAAACGAAAGAAGGCACTCGAGACTACAAATGCTTATTTCTACTGGGTAACTAGGGAGCAAGGTTCATTTGATTGGTTCAAAGGTGTCATGGATGAAGTTGCAGAGCTTGATCTAAGGGTAAAAGATTTGATCATAAAAGTTTTTTTGTTTTAATTCTCTTAAATCCCTTAATTGTTAACTGGTAACTTTCAACCCTAGGGTGTCATTGAAATGCACAACTATTTGACTAGTGTGTGTGAGGAAGGGGACGCCGGTTCGGCTCTCATCACTATGGTCCAAGCGCTAAATCATGCTAAGAACGGGCTTGACATTGTTTCTGGCACCAGGGTATGATTTCACCTCCGTCATTTTAATTCTCTACCTCATCCAACTTTTGATTGCCCTGTAGGATTTCAAACAACACATTCCAAATTTCTTGTGGCATTAGACTGCAATCAATATTTTTGTCCCAAAAACCTCTTTGGATGTGAATCACCAGTCAGTTGCATGCATCAATGGAGGCAGGGCCTTGATGATGTTTTAACAATTCCTACAGTGAACTAAAGACATTCTCTTTAAGGTTCGAATAGATAATTACTAATCATTCCTTGTTTTATTTCATCAGGTTCGGACCCATTTTGCAAGGCCTAAATGGAAGAAGGTTCTTTCTAAGTTAAGTTCCAAGCATTGCAATGGCAGGATAGGTGAGTGACCTTAACTCCTCACTACGACACTACACATAAGAAAATGATGGCCATTTGCTCCCTCTTCCATTTTGTTGACATTGATCTTCATTTTCTGGAACAGGAGTATTTTATTGCGG